GCTTAGTCAAGTCAGCGAGAGAGACGATGCCTAACCAGACTCGCTGCGCGCGTGCCCGGGACTCACGCTTTCGTTCCAGGGACGAGCACCACCACGTGCCAGGGCCTGGAAGAACGCAGGGGAAGACCTTTCGCTGACTTACGCACAGATACTGAAGTTAATCCGCAGAAGACCTTCAAAAAACAAAAACCAACAATCCAGGCTAACTGGAACAAATCAGTGTGCAACAGGCTGTCAGGCTGTAGCGGTGCAAATGTGTCAGTGAAAGCAGCAATTCTTACCTAATTCCTAGGGGAAATGGCTTGGGAGATATGACCCGGACAACGCCTAAGAACAGATGGCAAATTGGCTGAGGGAGATTCAGATAGTTTTGTGTTTGGTGACTGCTTTACTTCTAATCAGGCTGCAGCATTAGTGAAGCTACATAGCAGAAATCATATGAACTCATGGAATCTTCCAGACTGGACAAAAGTTTGCTTAGCTAGAACACTGGTCGCTGGGGAAATCTGGAAAACCTATATTAAGATTAAATTGGCTCTGAAAAACACTGAGACCAAGGTGTAACTCAGTGAGACTGCTTGCCAAACATGTGCAAGGCGTTGGGTTCAGTTCCCAGCACTGTCCCTGCTTTCCAAAAAGGGAAAGGGGGCCACAGAGAGAACTTCAGAAGCACCCACTGAGGGGAGAATCCACATACTAACCAAGAAGTTAGGCCTGTTAGAAATGGCACGGTTGACCTTTAAGATCAATTGCTACTGCTTTTGCTGGATGCCGCTTACCTCCCGAGTTCTCCAGTGAAGTTCTTACACATCAGACATCAGAACATGGTGTGAAGTCCATCCACTGGAGTCAGGAACACCTGGAACAGCAACTCTAGCTCTATCATTTGCCACCTCTGTAGCCTTGAAGAAAGAAGTAGCTTATTAGCCATTCTGATTCCTGGCTGTTTGTTTCTGTAATGTAAAGCAAGCACAATGACTTTGAGAAACAACTATGAGAAGTAAACATGACTAAATAGGCATGTCTAGAGTGGAGGGGACACCTAGCATGTAGTAGAGGCTGTCCTTATTCTACAATCTCAGAAGCCTTTCCAAACCACCCAACACTGGCATGGGCAGTGTTTCTTTCCTTTATGCTCCAGTAGCACTTTCAAGCACATCTACATACCTGGCTCACAATATTATCATATATGTTCAAGTCTGTGTCCTCAACACTGTGAGATCTTCACAAATAACATCTGGAAAGCAGGATGCTTGACAATTACTTATTGAATGAATGAATGAAAAGCCTCATTTTGTCTTCTGCAGCCCTAAAACTCAAGAGCCAGTGAGTAGAGCAGCACTTCAGATGACCATGACAAGTCAGCAGGCAAGGCTTCTTTGTGTTGGCTGAGTGAAAAGCATGGGCCAACCTCCTCTCCCATCTACTTGTTGTATTTACTGAAATAAAGAGTTTGGTTAGAAAAACCATCTTTTTAATCACTCCATGGTCTAAGATCACCAGTACCCTTAGAGCAAGACAGGACAGGGCTCTGCTCTTGAGCGATGCTTTTGTAGACTTGCAAATCGCAAACACATACACACAAACAGACATATGAATGCATCTCTTACTTGAGATCTCACACTCAAGCCCCTAACATGATACAACCTTCTACAAATAACTGGCCCCAACAAGTGATTCTTCACATCTCCTGTCTTAGATCCTTGAGACAGAAGGCAACTCCATTCCAGTGTATGGGACTGCTTAGGTAAAAGTCAAGCTACCCTGCTCTCAGAAAACCTTGAATGCAGCCGATTCTTGCATAGCAGTATTGCACTTCCTAGTAAGGCTGGGATTTGTTCCCTTGTCTTCTCATCACACTGACATTTAACGTTCCAGAAGTGCTCTCAGATTAGTGCAGTGTTCACAACAGTTCACACAAAGGCTAAGGGATATTTGCTTTTGTGACATTGTTCTTAACTGTGTTTAGACATAACTCACAAGACTCATGAACTGGTTCTAAAGCATTGAACATTAACAAAAAAAAAAACAACTAACAAAATTACTGTTTCAAAAAGTCAAAAACTTTCAGCTCTGTGTAGCAATTTAATTTATTAGCATGTGTTAAATATGCTCTATTTCTTACCTTTATCTTCCATAGAGAGTTTGGAATATGCTAGGAAATTTTCTTAAAATATAAAAAAATTATTTTGAAATTCATCACTATGGTAATATATTCTAAAATTGTATTGATACTGATCGAATTCAACCATCTCTGATATTTTGCCAATTTTCGATCATATAAAAGCCATCACTTTATGAGTATTGCTGCTGTTAGAGGATGAAACATAATTTAATGATTATATATCTAGCTACCCATTTAATGTTTAAATACTCAAAGATGGCATATGGGCTCTTAGGCCCTGAAAATCTTATGGCTATGACTCACTCTAAGTGACCCAAGCAAAGGACACCAAGTTATCTCAGAGGAAATACAAATCTGCTGAAGATATTAAAAAGACATGAACTTTCTGTTTCAGGACAAGAAAAACAAGCTTCCAGTTAGTGTACACGTGCACAGTCTTTGTATTTGGGCACTGATGAAGGACCTGCAGCAGATGACAACCCTGTGGCCCAGTCAGCCACCCAACAAGGTTCTAGATGCAGAATTCCAGCCTGAAGCAGAAAGAAGTGCCTGGCAAGCCACAAGATTGGTGCACACAGTTCTTAAGTTTCGGAAAACCTTCAGGCTGCATCTTCTTTCCCTGGAAGGCCCCTCGACCCTCAGGCAGCCTCTCTGTCCCCAACTGGCTTGTCTCACACAGTTATTTATTTGTGAATTTCTGAAGCACTACTATATACTACACACTACATAGTTGGCACAAATGCAGAGCTAAGCACATGTGATCCCTGGGTGGAATTTCTGAGACCAAGCTGGCCCCTGACAAAAAGAGGAAGCATTGAAAGTTGATTGCAGGGCCTGCTTTAAAGGAGACAAAGCTGAATGGCAACGTTTACACCAGAGCCCACTGTACCACTTGTACCATGGTTCATCTAATATTCTGGGAGAATCTCACGTATAAAAGTCTTAAAACTAACCTTCTACCCCACTGTTCACAGGATTGCCGATTCAGGCTTTCTATAAGTCTATTATTCACTTGAGAAAACATTAGAGAGCTATGACGTGCTGTTAAGGGAATATGCAGTTCCCGCTCTCAAAGAAGATAAAGTTACAAATGGCAGTCTGTACTGAGATTTTTGACCATTTCAGGGAAATGAGGAAACAACAAAAACAGTATCAACATGAACAATGTAGCTACTTCGACAGTGTCTAATACACACAGTACATAACAATTTGTATAATTGCATGTATTGGTATAGTCACTTCTCGGGAAGAGTCTTTTCCATCACTGACAATTTTCTAACATGGTGCTAAAGAAAATAGGTACTTACCAAGACCAAATATTGGTATTCTCCCTTAATTCTGTGCTCTTGGTGCCTTAGTGGGGACTTTGATGTGAATTACATATACAATAGTCACAAAAGTCAAGGTATCAGTTGTTCTAGTTGAAAACCATGTATATAAAATAGAAACATCCAAGAACCACTGTTCATATGAAGCCACAGACACAAGCAGTCCCCCTGTGCCTGTGTTCCTTCTTTTTCTCAGAGTTGGACTGTCAGTGCTCTTTCTCTCTTTAAACACTCCCTATTGGAAAGTGCATTCTCTTTAGGGTTTCAACAATTTTAAAAATTCTTTTAAAGCATAACATAGTGCCTGGAGTCAGAGAACATGAGTTCAAATGTAGATTCCTTCATTTATCAGTCATGTGGCCACAGATTACTTGAACTTTCTAAGATTTGGTGTCTTCATTGGTGACAAGAGAATCAGGGTTTTTGGTTGGCTGCTGTTGTTATTTCTTTGTCTTTGTCTTTGTTTTGGGAGACAGCATTTCTCTGTGTAACGACCCTGGTTGTCCTGGAACTCACTCTGTAGACCAGGCTGACATTGAACTCCGAGATCTGCCTGTCTCTACCTCCAAGTGAACCACCACTGCCAGGCTAGCCATAGCGTTTTATGAGGTGAAAAGGAGGTAGATGGTGTCAAGTGCTTGGCATATCATTTCAATAAATGTTGTTAAGACAACTGGATGTCCATATACAAAAGAATGCATCTGGACTCCTTCCTCATACCACAAACAAAACTTAAGCCAAATTGGATCAAAGACCTAATGGTCATACAGTAGTTACGAACTTGTACAAGAACTTTGGTTTGGGCAACAATGAAGTTTTAGATAAGATACTTAAAGCACAAGCAACAATAGTATACAACGAGCCCAGGATGGCAGCGCATTTTAATCCCAGCACTCAGGAGGCAGAAGCAGACGGGTATCTGTGAGAGAATACAATGAACTTCATAAAAATTAAAAGCCTCTGTGTGTGCTCAGAGGACATACACACACACACACATACAGTGAAGCCAACTCACAAGGCTTGTGTCTAGAATGTGGAAGAACTCTTCTACCTCACTAACAAAAGACAACCAATTTCTAAAATAAAAAGAATCTTCTAAAAAAGATTCTGAATAGACACATTTTCTGAGAAGATACACAAATGTGCAGTAAACACATGAAAAGACAGCAGCACCATTCGTCATTACAGCAATGTAAACCAAAACACAATGAGGGAGCTCCTTGGCCCCTTAGATTAGCTCTGGTAGAGAGACAGAACTCAGGCTGATGAAGGTGTGGCAGACTTGAGGCCCTCGAACATTGCTTGTAAGGATATCAAATGGGAAAGCCACTTGGGAAACAAAAATGGCTGCTTCCCAAAAGTTAAAAAATAGTAATATATATGACCTTACAATTCTCCTCTCCGGTTTCTGCCAAGAACAACAAAATTATAAAACAATTTTTAAAGTGTACAAATGTTCATAGAAGCCTTATTAATAACAGACAGAAAGTATAGTGGCCAGTAAAATGGTGAATAAATAAAAGATAACATATCCATGTGATAGAATCTTATTCTACAATAGGGAGAGAATACACATCCGTGCAACATGGGTGAACCCTGAAAACGTAGTAAGAGAAAGCCAGTAAGCAAAGGGGGATGACTTTTCTGAGAAACTCCTGTTGTGCCTTGCATTTTATAAACCAGACTTTGGCCCTGCCTGTGGCCAAGTTAGCAATGTGCTTTGAGGTCACTTAGAACCACGTACTCATTTTGTTTACATACTGTGTACACAGCCTGATCCAAATCAACTGCCCTTTAAGAAAAACTATGGAATCAATCTTCTCAGTTTATACTCACAACCTAATGAACTCTTGCAAGCTTAGCTGATAGCATAGTTTTGATCTCATATCGTGTTTCCTCTCTTCCCTTCATAGCCCATGCATGCCCCTGACTCAGAACAGCATATATATGGGGAAGATGAAGTAACTAGACGGCAAAGAGTTGAAATCAACACCACCTCCCCTTTAAAATGTTGAAAACAACATGTGAGCATGGGTTGAGAACATCTATGTGTGCCTTTGTGTGCTGTTCTGAGTCAAAGGGTCAGAAAAACAATGTCTTCTACCGTGAGACTCCCAAAGACTGCTAAAAGTTCCACATTCATTGTCTATGCCACACTTGCTGTTCGACAAATAGGATGACCTCTTCAGAACCCTTCAGAACAAACGCATCAGGCTCTCTTGGGCAAATGACACCGTGGGTTAGTTTCTTTTGTTGTAGATGGCACTGCTGTAACAAAAGATTACATGTTTATGACCATTTATGTGAATGTCCAAAATAGGCAAATCCATGAAAACAGAGTGGGTCAGTGGCTGCCAACTAGAGCTGGGATGGAGGGAGTGGTAATGACTGATGGTAATGAGGACTAAAATGTTAAATGGTGGTAATGGTTTTCTGCATAACTACTATGAATCACTGAATCGTCTACTTTTTTGTAACGATCATTGCTACTATAATAGAGCCACTCTTACTTTGGAGTTGTGTGTGTTCATGCACGGTTGCGTGTTGTGTGAATATTTTATCTTTGCTCTTTTAGCTTTTGTCAGGACACACCACCCAGCTTCCAAATAAATGACACATGAAGGCTGATTCTTAATTATGAGTGCCTGGCCTTAGTATGCCTTGTTTCTAGCCAGATTTTCTTATCTTAAATTAACCCGTCTACCTTTCCCTCTGGGTTAGGGTTAGGTTTTATCTTTCTTCTGTATTTCTTACTCTCCTTCTCACTCCATGACTGGCTGTCTTCCTCTCCTTGGTCTCTTTCTCCTTCTATTTATATGCTCTGCCTGCCAGCCCCACCTATCCTTGTTCCTGCCTCACGATTAGCCATTCAGCTCTTTATTAGGACCATCAGGTGTTTTAGACAGGCAAAGAAGCACAGCTTCACAGAGTTAAACAAATGCAGCATTAACAAAAGTCACACACCTTAAAGTAATATTCTACCACACATGCACAGGTGTATACCGTGCGTGTTCATGCATGTGAACAGTCAGAAAGAACACCCTAAAGCCTGTGTTAAACTAGTTTGAAATTGGACAGAAAAAACAGTGGAGCAGAGGAGCCTCGTAAGGTGGGCAGCTTGGAAGCTTGTTAGGATGGGCACAGTCATAGGAAAGATTAGCAAAGATTTCTGTGTTTTATGAATCATAGATGGAAGCTACGTTAGGCATGTTAGAAAAGAAATCTACCAGGGTCAAATTGTCTTCTGGCCACGATGGGAGTCATGAGCTCACTGCAGCTGTGGCTGTCTGCACAAGATCAAGCCAGGCAACATTCTCGTCATGAAATTGTGAGAGACTCACAAGCTGCCACCCCTAGAGAAGCCACTATTGACAATTGATGGCTGCCAGTAGAGTCAGTTTTAAGGGTGTGGCCCTGGCAGGCCAACCATACTCCATTCGATTTGCTCACACTCTGGGTATATAAGAAGCACTAATTGGACCAGGTGGGTTAAAAAAAAAAAAAAAAAAAAAGACATTAAATTGTGGAGGAGTGAATCCAAGAGGACATTATCATTGATCATTCAAAACACATTGTAAACAGCTATAATATTCTCAAACGACAACAAATGAAAAAGGAACACGTTTGCTACTCATAATACATCTTAGAACTAAAAGAAAAGATGACTAGAAAGCTCCAACTTGCCTTGTTCTATTAGTAACGGTGATTTGCTCCATTGAGTAACCACCTTCTCAAATCACCAAATGACTACGAAGTGTTCCCACGGACAGGATTGTTCCCAAGCCCCAGCTAACAGGCCAGTTTTGTTTTTGCAGCTCTGGGAATTGAACCTATGCCCTTATGTATATTCACTCAACCACAGAGCAGCATCCCCAGCCCTTGATTTACTTCAGAAAGGATCTCACCCAAGTAGTTCAAACTACCCTTGAAGAACCCTGCATCCCATGTTGGTCGTAAGGTAGTGATCCTGTCTCAGCCTCCTAGAAGCTGAAATTACAGGCCACACTTTACAGCAAGTCTTCTAGTTTTAAAGTAATACTTATCCCCCTCAACTTTACGGGATCCCCAAATGCCTAGTCCATTCAGGTATCTGCATTCACACTTGTTATTCCTTTAGCAATAGACTGGCTCATGGTGGAGACAGGAAAGTTTTCTGTTGACCTTGGCTAGCCTGTCTTAGGCAGACTTTGTACCTGATTTTAGGGGTGTGACTTTCTCAACATTCTCACCTCAATCTGCAATAACCAGGAAACTCTACCTTAAATCAAAGGTCTCATGTGAGGAAGAGTCCCATGTCCCCCACCCCCAGTAGCAGCAGTCCTCTGTTGTCACACATGTGGAACCCTGGGGTCCACACTGCATTTCAGTCCCTTTATCCAGGTCAGCCAAGCTGGGCTTCTTTCTTTGGTAGAATCAATCTTTGCCTCTCCTGAATCTGCACTCCTCTTCTAGAGGGAGGTAGGTTTTGTCAGATGCAGCTTTTCCCCCACAGCACCCTACAGCATCTGAATCCTTCAAAAGGAGGACCTGGATCCGAGTAGGCAGGGTTTATACCTGTCCCCAGCTACTTCCCAAGTGCCTGAACCCTTGCCAGGACTTACAGGTGTTCTGCCCTGCTCCTTCCCAGGTGTAGGCCTTTGGGTCTAAGAGTTACATCTTTAACTGAAGAAGTTAGTAAGTCCCCTTAACTGAGAGGCTACCTTAAATTCCCTCTGCTGATAAGAAGATTGATGACTAACTTATATGCCATTCTATAGATTTCATCCAGCAGCTGGCAGAAGTACAAGCAGACACCCACAGCTAAACACTGAACTGGAATCCAGCTGCAGAGGAGGACTGATGAGCAAAGGGGTCCAGACGAGGCAGGTGAAACCCATAGAAACAGCTGACCTGAACAAGGGAGAGCCCTTGGAACCCAGACTGATAGCTGGGAAACCAGCATGGGACTGATCCAGACCCCCTGAATGTGGGTATCAGTGAGGAGACCTCGGAAATCTACGGGGCCTCTTGTAGTGGATCAGTACTTATCCCTAACAAAGGAATGGACTTTGGGAGCCCATCCCACATGGATAATCTCTCAGCCTGGACACAACGGGGAGGGCCTAGGCCCAGCTCCAAATGATGTGACAGACCTTAAAGATCCCCCCCCATGGAAGGCCTCCCTCCCTGGGGAGCAGAAAGGAGATGGGATAGAGGGTTGGTTGGGGACAGGGGAGGAAGGGGAGGGAGAGGGAACTGGGACTGACAGGTAAAACAAGATTATTTCTAATTCAAATTTTAAAAATGGAGGAAAAAAACTCAGAAAAAAAAAGAATGTGTAAAATGACCTACATAGTGAACTACATAGTGAACTACATAGTCAACTTCAGGAATCCGTGAAGTGAGTAAAATGTTCCCCAGGGAAGAGCACACCAATTGGTTATCCAGCGCCCAACAGTCAGCCCTAAACACACATGTGCAAGCTGAACTTATTTAGAACACGGACACTGACACATACACACATGCACTCAAACGCATGTACCGAGCACACATATACAACAATTAATGGGGGGGAAAAAGGCCATAAATTTGAAAAAAGAGCAAAGAGGGGTATGTGGAGAGCTTGAGGGGAGGAAAGGTAAGGGGGAATGATGTAATTATAATCTTAAAAAAATAAAAGAAAGTGTGTGCCAGGCAGGTGGCACACACTTATTCCCAGCACTAAGGAGGTTGAGGCAGTCAGATCTCTTGAGTTCAAAGCCAGCCTGGTCTACAGAATGAGTTCCAGGACAGCCAGGGCTACACAGATAAACATTGTCTTGAAAAAAGAAAAGCCCAATTAGATAAGTAAATAAACAGAATTTGTAACATGATGTCTGCTAATGTTTCTTTTATGCTTGTGGCAATGGTGGCTGCCTTTCTCCTGTGTTCTGAAGAGGAAGAGGTCTCTGTTTCCTTTTTCTCCTTGGAGCTTATCATTCTCTGTATTCAATTTGTCTTGTTACTTCAACTTCAGTTCAACAAAAGTGGAAATTTTATAGCTTGCCCAGCTTTTTGTTCCTTGTTAAATTGAAAATGGCAATCTCAAGGCCCACTACAGTTCCTTCTGAAGAAAGGGTTACTAAAGTTGACACTCCCATTATCCTCAAGTTATTATTTCCATCATTGCATTTCCTAAAATCTATAGTTATTTTTGTATTCTCTGGTAGAACTTAGCCCCAGGAAAAAAGTTGTCTCAGTCATCATAGGAGATTTGGTTCATATTCACACAAATACCAAAATATAAAATAAGTCACCAAATCCTCTCATACACTTTAAATCACCTCTAGATTATTGGTAATACCTAATACAGTTGTTAGCACCTCAAAAATGGTTGTTAAGATGTTACTCGGGGAATAATGGCAAGAAAAGTCTGTGCATGGTCAGTATAGATGGAATATTGTTTCAAATCTTTTGATGAGCAGTTAATTGAATCCACATACATAGCATCCATAGGTATAAGGAAAAACTGTGTTGTATCTCATGTAACCCCTGTACCGTATCAGACAGCACAGCATTCAGAATTGAATGGGATGTTATACATGGCATGTACGCATGTTTTCTGACTATTTAAAATGCCCACAGAATGTAAGGAACAGAAAGAGAAGAGGGGCAAGCGCTCAGAGGTAAACTAGGGGGTCATGCTCACAACTCCCTACCAATTTTCCTTTTGTAATCTGCATAGGAAAATGTATCTACAATATTGAACAGGCTCAAAACATAAGGAATGAATGAAAAAGATAGATCCTAAGTGAGCCACTCTTGAATGAAGCTCTAAGGAAAGCTGAAATAAATAGCAAAATATGGATCTGTAATTCCTTATTATTTATTCTCCTCTTACAAAAGACAATGGACAAATAAATATAAAATGGTACATGTCATATTTAGAAATGGCCAACACATTCCCTTGGCATTCCTCACCGGAACACACTAATAAGATCCTCAGAAGCACACTCATCCTTCCCCCCACCCACTTCTTTTTGTTTTTTTTTTAAAAAAAGGTAAATTCTTTTAATTCTCCACAATTTTTAACAATGAATTATCAAAATAAGTAATCTAACACTACTCAGAGACAAAGACATTTAAATGAAAAGTTTTAAAAATACATGTGTGTACAAACACACACAATCATGTTGCCCAGAAACTGGAACTAATGAATAATACAAGATTAATTTCCTAGGTGACAGGTCACAACTCTTCAGAAGTGCGAATAAACACCAGAAAGCCAGCCCCAAGCCCAGCCAGTACAGTACATCAACATGCAGTCAGAATCCTATGGACGTCACAAGGCATCGGGACTCAGTGATGGAATTTACAATTTAGCCTCTTCACAGTAGAAGACGATGCTTCATGATGGATGCAGATCATGTCCCCCCTCCTGAGACACATACACATCACTGCTGCTGAGGTCACAATTTGGGATCATTTAGGAATCCAAATTTTGCTCCAGAGCATACAACTCCAGTAGGAACTTGAAGACAGACAATATAAATGGGAGTTAAGTGGAACCTGCCTGTAACACTCTTTTATTTTCCTTTAAGGCCACAGAAAATCTGAGCATAAGCAAGGAAATTAATTCTCATAATAAAAATATCCCTACAAACAGCCAAGATGTCCAGGCAGGCTCTACACGGAGAGTAGGCTGTACCACATTCTATTCCGAGGGTGTGCTTTGTGAGTCCGCAGGGCTAGAATCAACTCTTTCTGGAAATACTAGCTTCTCACAAACTGCCTCCTTGATTGGTAAATATTGAGAGATTTCATTAGGTTCCGTGAAGAGGGAAGGTGGAACGTGCTAGGGAAAACACAAAATCTTATTAGTATAAACTTAAGTTATAGCCTGGACAATTTCTGAGATCTTCTAGTTCAAACATTCACAAAGGATGCCAATTTCCAAATAGGGGATACTACATACATAAGGAACAGCATTAAGTGCTTCCCCCAAATAACAGGTGTTTGCCATACTCAATCATTCAACTCTTTGCTGAATGGCCTTCCAGTAACTCAGGACCATGTAATTTACAGTGCTACTATAAATGCTGGAAGAATTTCACACATTTTAACCAAATCCCCTCCCTGGTTCCCTGGAGTAATTTGAAAGACAAATCTTAAGCTAGAGCCCAGTTCATATTCTATGACAGAATCTGAGTAACTATTCTAACTCAAGTGTACTCTATATTCAGACAGAAATAAATACTACAGGTAAAAAAAGAAAAAAAAATACTAAGTTTTTAGAGAGGTACTACCTTCTAAGCCACTCATTACAAAATTCAAGTACTAAGGAAGGGCTTCAAAAACTCCAGGTGAGTAAAATATACAGGAAAATTATATCAGGGTACAGAATGACCAGTTTTTGGAAGAAAAAGAAATGCGTAAAAATATATACATACAAATACACAGACTGAGCAGGTTGTATTTATGTATTTAGGAAACACACACATACAACAACTACTGAAAAAGAGACCATGAATTTGAAAGAGAGTAAGGGGGTAGGGGAAGGTACAGAAAGGGGAAATTTATGGAACTATATCATATAATCTCAAAAAATGAAAATACTACTTTTTAAAAATTCTAGAGTGACCAGGTGCTAAGTCAGAGGGACATCCAGCTGAAGCTATGCGACTCAGACCATGGCACCTCTGGATCTCAGTTTCTTCAGAGCAGTGGGAATTAGATGAGTGACACCCAACAACTCTCCACATGCCCTGGTGCTTGAGACAAGCTCAGAAGAGAGCACTCACCAGACTCACCCACTCTACAGAGCCCTGAGCAGGAGCACATTTACAGATGTAAATTTAGATGAATGGAATTAGTGGGATAACAGGTTTAAAATCATTAAAATTCAAGTAATTACCATTAAATTAGCAATTTTGCTCTCTCGTGATGTATATTCTCGCAACATGTAGGTCTTGTCAGCCTATGTTTAAAAATAAAAAAAAAATTAGAATATATTTTATATTGATTTTATAAACTCCTTCCTATAAAACAGACTGTCTACATTTTAGGACAGGTTGTAAGGGAAGCATGAAGTCTGATGAAAATATTTGGCTCTTCATTTAATTGTCAACAAGAATTCTGAAATACTATTTCCTATCTCTATAAACACAGTAACTCCAGAAGAACTCCAAATACACACAGGTAACCAGACTATTATCATGTTAACATTCACTCAAACTCACATGCACATACAGGTACACAAAGGCTATACTTTGATGGGATATATCTATACACAATAAAAATACAGAGATATTTAAAGGTTCAAGTATTAAATGAAATCTTTTTTTCTTGAGCTATCTTATATTTTCAGTGGCTCCTTTCATTCAAAAAAAAAAAAAAAGAACTTTTTTTATTTTTTTAAATCTTTCCTATTCCCACATATCTTGCTAAATTCCTCACTTTACCAGAGGCAGGTGGATCTCTGTGAGTTTGAGGCCAGCCTGGTCTACAGTGAGTTCCAAGGCAGCCAGGTCTTAAAAATAAAAAAATAAAAATAAAAAAAAAAATAAAGTAAATAAAAATAGAAATCCACCCTTTTGTACTCAAGTTTTTCCCATTGAAGACTTTTATGGTTGGGTTACAGAACTGCATTTTGCTGGGCATGGTGGTGAATATCTTTAATCCCAGCACTAGAAAGGCAGAGGCGGGCAGATACCTCTGAGTTTTAAGGCAGCTTGATCTAAGTAAGAAATAATAAGTTCTATAATAAGTTCTAGGACAGCCAGAGATATAAAGTGAGACCCTGTCTCAAAAAGAAAAGAAAAAAAAAAAGGAACTAAGAATGAATTTAAAATTTATTATAATTTGTTTTCAGGATACTTTTCCATATAGAAACATACAAAATCATACTCCTCTAAGGTTTCAGTTTTATATCAACAAGAAACAAGAAATAATTAATGCTTGCCATAAAAAATCAATAATATAAAAGTATAAATAAAAATATCAATCATAGCTACTTCTGATAACACAGGCTTTCCCATTTCAAAGCCTCTACACGAAATCTTGACTAGGTTCACACTGAACTATAAAAATTCACTGAGATGGGCACCTTTCCAAAGAAGCTCAATTTAATTCTGTACTGTCAATGGTAACGGGCATATATTTTTCTGCTACTAATGTATGGATATAAAGCTTCATCAAATTTATTAAGTTCCTTCATATTATATAAATAACACTGCTGTGAATGTCTTAGTATATACAACTCTGATCAACTACATGATAAATATAAGTTATTGCTTAACAGAACCTTTTAGGATACATTTATAAAATAACTAAGTTTAACATAGTATTTTTGAGATTTAGATTTCACTATGAGAAAAATGTATTACTTTGGCTTTGCTTCTACAAAGGGAAAACAGTCATCAGATGTGCCTTTGATCCCAGCAGAGGCAGGCAGTTCTAAGAGACCAGCCTGATAGACATACTGAGTTCTAGAACAGCCAGGGCTACATAACAGAGGGAGAGGGAGAGGGGAAGGGGAGGAGAATGGGGAGGGATGAGGGAGAAGAAAAGAGGCCAATAACAGTCATTGTGTTGTTTCAAGAAGAAAACAAAATGTCTAATTCTTCACCACATGTGATCCCAATTCTGAACTTAAACATTCAAAAAAGACAAGCTGTCCTATAAGATGCTGGAAAATTCTTACAACTCACTGTAAACTCAGCCCCCTAACCCTTAACACTGTTTATACCTGTTACTTTAGACAGAAGACAGAACTTTCTACCTTTAGAATAACCACCAAATAATCATTCAATAGACACAAACTTAAAGAGGCAGCTTAAGTGGGATTTCTAACACCAGGACATTCTATAGTAATACTAGCAATAAAGGTTACAGGCTAAGGGACAATCTTCCTTAAACACAGGTTAAATATATACAAAATGTCTGGTCAAAGTGTCACTCATACACAGAAAGTATTTTTTATAAAACATTTTTGATTACCAGAACTTTGAAGAAAAACAAAAAGACAGTTTGATAATAACGTGTAACCAGTAAACTTAAAACACTCAATTTATGGGTTAATGGATGATCATTTAACAAGAATCATAACTTAATCTCAAAACCTAAGTGATAATGAAAACACATAAACAGACTCAGTGTCAGGATTCTCATTACCTCATGGTAAAGCCTTGTGTCATTCATTCTGATAAGCACACCATCGATTCTCAAGAAAAACCGCAATAGCAGAAAAAAGCTGGAAGGCATTACTCTCTAGGGCATAAAGACAGCACATTAAAATGTTAATGAAATTAAAATATTTTATTTCTTTACAAAAAGGAAAAAAGAGAAGCACTGAAAGAAAGCTAAATCCACAGTAAAAATGCCCCCTGGTTTATGGCCCATCACATTGAAAGCAACTATCTAAGAAGCTCTTAACAAGATCTGACCTATTTGATACCATAGCTCAACAATGCAGGGACACAGAGTACCAGGCATTTCCAGTGGCACAGCTGACCAGGCACTGCAGTTCACTGCCCAGCATCAAGAGTATCATACCACACATTGATAACATGGAAAAGATAAAATTCAAACTACAAAATATAGTTAATAAAGGCTTACTTATCACTTTCACACCAGCATGAAGCCAAAATAATGATAAGCTGAAGCAATCCAAATCAGGGACCAACTAGATGGAGGGTCTCTGCCCTAGCTCCAACTAGCCTCACAGCCTTTAGCAGGTTACTTAACATGGTTTGTTTTCCAAACTCACAACCATCTTTAACTCCAGTTCCAGGGGAGGCAGTGCCCTTTCTGACCTCCAAGGGTACCAGGCAAGCCGTGGTGCATGAGCAAAACATTCATACATATAAGATAAATCTAAAAATAAATCCAACAGGCTACCTGCAGATCCTAGAAATATCATTTTTAATTCAAAACATGAGAATTAATAATAAGCAAATAACCTACAAAGTAGCCAGGTAGGTATATTAAAAAAAAAAAAAAGAATATCCTTATTTTTCATGAATTTCATAATGGCTACTCACTAGGGTGTGCTCTAGACACAAGAGAAATGTCACATAGCATCCTGTCAGCCAACGCTAAGAATGGAAGAATGGTGTCAATTTAGCAATCACAGTACTCACAATTTTCACACTCAGGCTGGAAACTCCATGATCATGTAATTCATCTTCAAACAGGAGAACTTCTTCAAAAAATTTAATCTGTTCTCTGGCTTTCAATTTCTCTGTATCTATATGATCTGTTGTAGGTACAACCTGAAATACACAATTTTAAGTGGGAAAGTTTTAATATAAAGAGCTAGAGTTGAAAGACAGTTTTTATCATTTTCTCTGCTTAACAGCAGCATGCAGTTCTAAATTTGGATGTAATTAGTAGGCATTGAAAGATTACACTTTGCCCCCACTCTGAAACTCTGAAAAACACTATAGATAACTGATATTCTCTCAGAGTCCAAATGTACCATCTTTCAGAATATAATTAAGTATTCTGTTGTGAAGATGAGAAAATTATCAACTGAAAATTAGCATGATAAACTACAGCTACCACAGGAATTAAGTGCAGTTTCCTGCTAGTAAAGTGTACTTGTATATGCTCAGTTGGAACTGGAGAAATATTTCTTTCTGTTAAAATGGCACCTACCTTAGGTGCTGGGAAATATAGTGCCTGAAGCAAAAGCATGACAACCTGTGTTCAAACCCCAGAAAACCACATAAAAAGCTAGGTGTGGAGGTTCCTGAACACAAGGTCAGCAATGGGGAGACTGGTTACACAACAATGCTAACATAGTTAACCCTTCTCAACTATATATACTTACAAATTGTTTTTTGTTTGTTTTCTTAAAGCATTAATGTTGTTAGGTAGACCACACACGATGACACTATGTTAATAGTCAATTACCCCAATTTTTTAAAACATATTTTAATTGATTCTTTAGGAACTTCACATATACCAAATGTGCAAAACAGTAAGTTACGGGCAGTGTGTTATCCAAAATCATAGTTTAAATTTGTGAACCCAATACTTCATCTACAAAATGAGGATACTGGACCTACCTACAAGGTTATTTTGAGCACTAAAGACCAAAATTATAATAATTTATCTGAAAACCTTTAACTTAAAAAGTCTGTTTTTTTTTTTCCCCCAAAGATGTATTTACCTTATATGTATGAGTGTTTGGCATGCATGTATGCATGAACACCATGTGCATTCCTGGTGCCCACTGGTGTCAGAAGAGGATATCAGATCTTTTGAACTAGAGTTACAGATGGTTGTGAGCCACCATATGGGTGCTGGGAACTGAACCTGGTCCTCTGCAGAGTAGTAAGTGCTCTTCACTGTTGAGCCATCTCCACAGCCTCAGTCACTCCATTAAAACACCAAAAAACCACATTCATCAACTTCAGACATAAAGCCTAGTCATGCCTAGTATTCCAACAGTCACCTACTATTTGAGACCATCTATTGAGGTCTTCACTATGTAACAGACACTGCATTAAATATTTTACATGTGGGATCTGCCTCACAATTGGTATTGTCCATTTATCAAAATAAGGCTTTGCAAAAGATCAAACTGTGAGGAGATGACTCAATGGGCAAAGCCTGACTTTGAATCCCCAAAATCTACATAAAGCCAGATATAATAGTTCATGTCTGTAATACTGGTGCTCCTAGGGTGAAGACAGGAGAATCCCCAGAAGCTTGCGGGAAATAGAGCCTAGTACACACATCAGCAAAAAACAGAAACCATGTTCAAGTAAGATGGAAGACAAGAACCCACACCCAAGGATGTCCTAACCTACACACACTGTGGCATATGTAAACTCCCAACACACACACACACACACACACACACACACACACACACACACACACACGAGAGAGAGAGAGAGAGAGAGAGAGAGAGAGAGAGAGAGAGCAAATTGCTTTGTCAAGCTGATTTGAAGCAAAGCCCATATTCTGACAAAGCCTAAGTACACCACTATCACTACCAGAATGGGAGATCACACTGACATTTATCAGCAACACTTTAGAAGAAATTATATTATAGGTGAAAATATTGGAAGAATACCAAGCGCATAGTTTTATCTTCTCCTATCAGTCTCCATCTCTATTGCCTTGGTTCTTGCTCCAAATGCTATACTTACAGCTAATGCAGCTTTTCCTAAGTGAATCCATTAAACAACCATCATCACTATTGCATGAGGTATCATAAAACTTCAATTTCTTCATTCCTGGCAACAAAATATCAAATGACCTCAGCTCTCTGCAAACTTCAATCAGAAGTGATGACAGACTACAGTCTGTAAAGTTGTCAAGAGAATAAGAAAATCACCATACTCTCACTGGACTATGCAATGGCACACAGAAGAAGTTTAAGATATGTCTGATGAAATGAATAAATGAGCAAATGTCTATTTTCTCAAAAGTTTTGTTTGTGTACTGGAAGCACACATAGAAAAGTTTGGAGGAGAAACTAAGAATTAGTTTCAGCCGGTGTGGTGGCACACACCTTTTAATCTTAGCACTTGAGATGAAAACCCAGTCAGATCTCTATCAATTTGAGGCCAGCCTGGTCTACAGAGAGTTCCAGGATGGCCAGGGCTAAGTAGATGAACTCACCTTGAAAAACAAAGAAAAAGAAAAAAGAACCCCACCACCACCACCAAAGATTTAATTTCTATCTCCTGAAACTAAACTAAAAAAAAATTTACATAGGCAAGGAGACAAGGATTTCACACATACCCTCACATGTCCAGCTAACCATCAACTTATGATATAGCCTCCAATAACATTTAGTGTGTGTGTTATGAGCATGTGTGGCAGTCAGAGGACAACTTGTAGGAGCTGGTTCTCTCTTGCCACCATATGAGTCCCAGGGATCAGGCACAGTCATCAAGCTTGGCAGCAAGTGACTATCCACTGAGCCATCTCACCAGCCCTAAAGGGTAAGGAAGATAGTTTACACTAGAACAACTTTGTCCTTACGCCTGACAGACATACAACCTAAGCCTCACTTGTTTCACTTCAGTCTCACTATCAGAGCTTAAAATGTAGTTAATAGAGACCTTCCAATTCCATGTTCTGTGTCCTGACTACACAGATGCAGATCAATCAACACTAACACAACATGCTAAAATGTAATTAGAACCCGCTTGTGAACTATTCATATAAAAATTCTTCCACGGGCAAGCATTTCCATTTTCTCAATTTACTAGTAACAAGGTGTCTGGATTAAATAAGTCACCTAAAGGGCCAGGTGTGGTAGTGCACAACTTTGATCCCAGTACCGGGGTGGCAGAGGCAGGCAATCGATCTCTTGAGTTCAAGGCAAAACTGGACTACATGGAAAGGCTCCAGGTCATCCAGAAGGAAAGGAAAAAGTAACTTAACTAAAATACCAGATTCATACTCAGTGCAAGCAGGATATAAATTTTCTGTTCAACAGTTCTGTTGTTCATGTGTAAAACTCTAAGCTACTAGCTAGCCATTTCTATCTATATCACCTAATAATGCATTACCAAGGACAGATGCTTGCCTATGACACTGCTAACACCAAGGCAAAGTAAGGTTTTAAAGAACATCGTTCCTAGGCAAGTACAGGTACATACCTATACTTCCAGATACTCAGGAGGCCAAGGCAGGAGTACCTGAGCCTAAAAGTTCAATGCCAGACTCCTGAGACTCCATCTCAAGCAAACAAAAGGGGAACTGGCTATATCTTTCTTTTATTTTCCACTAATAGATACATTAATAAAACTAAATCCCTTCATATTAGGTTCTAAAGCCTGCCACAATCAAACTAAGCAGGATAAAAGCAGTGGGAAAAAATAATAACATAACTAAAAGATCTAGTGCTGAGATTATAAAAAACTAATGATTCATAAAAGCAAAAAGTTCAAATTTACCTTTAACTTAAGAGATTCTCCAAGTAACGTTCCTTTATAATCTGTTGTATAGGTCCAATCATATGGTTTAAGAACTTCTTTGGAGTGTTCACCCTCCGTCCTCAAATACCAAAACAAAAAAGGATGAGTTTAGAGTATATATTAGCAGTATTCATATGCACACCAAATTACACATCAGATATGTAATATAAAATACCCTACTAATACACACACAACATAAAACATCTTATTAAAGGCATACACTGCCATTCACTAGCAGAAAACCTTTCTTACTGTTTTCTGAACATTTAACTGTTATTTAACTTGTCAGTGCTGATATAGTCTTTCTAGGTCATCTTACACTGCCTAAGACATGACTTAAAGCTTACACTTCTTCCTATCCTCCAAAACATCTAATACACAATAAGCACAAAGTAAGTAACTGCTGACTTAATGAGAAAAAAAAAAACTAAACATTTTTCTTAGTTTTAATATTCCACAAATATTCAATGAAAACAACAAGAAAAATGTTTTTCTTCAAAAACAGGAACATTAAAATACAATGGACCTGCTGGACTAAGGGACACTGACAGTCTGGATAAAGGACACCTACACAGCTCAGCTCAACTTAACAAACATTCAAGCAGTGGCGCATTAACCTTTGTTTTATGGTCAACATAATATAGCTTTAAAGTTTAATTCTAACACACATCTTCCTTTTTATGTTTAACCTGTAACCGCCAGATCCTCACCTACTTTCCTGCCACTCTTCAGCACAAGCTACCTTAAGCATCCCTTGGTAGTTGTTTACACATCTTAGTGCATCAGTAGCATTGAACTCAATTCCAAAGCCAGAGCCATGCTGGATCCTTAGAACGTTGTCTCCAAACATCATTTCAGGGAGGGATGGCATATGCAATTCATCAGCTAACCTACACATAAGCAGAGATCAGGGGAGATTATTTATCTTCGCCAATATCACTTCTGTTTCCTTTTCACCCCAACCTAATTCTGACTTTACAGAATGAGTTCAATAGTGCATGACTTAATAAACATGACATTTAAAGCACACCTATAAAACACTTTCATCACCTACTTGTTCATCATTAAATCTTTATGTCACTAAACTAGGTAAGAGATGGTATAAATGATACATGGAAACAAACAAACAAAACAAAGTGAGGTAATTGGAAAGGGACCACTATTTTAAGATAATCAAGATCAATTCCAATTTCACTACTTGCAAAATAGTAAAAATAGAAAAGCCCAAGGAGTTCTAGAGTACACTAGTACTCTTGTTAGTATAATACCAGCCCTCTATCCAACATGCTAGTCCACATGCGTGGCTCATGCCTCAATGACAACTTCACTAGAAGATAAGCAAAACAGCCAGCATCACAAATCAGTAACACATTGATATGTTTGCTAGTATGAATGGTATTGGTATTGTTTTGACACTTGAAAAGTTGTCAAGAAAAACTGAGATTTTTGTTGTTTTTTATTGTGTAAATTGGGACTTCTGATTTAAAAAAGAAAAAGTTGGCCTAACAGCACATGCCTGCTTTGTCATATAGCACCACCTGGTTGATGCTAAGTACAAGTTGCCAGCCTCTAAGTTGGGGAATGAGCTGTCCAGTTCACTGGTCCCTTTTAGTCCTTAAGAAACCTGGGTTTGACAACTATGAACTACAACAACCAACATGGAACATTTGATGCAAAATAAATGCAAGGATATAATAGTGGCACATATATCTTGGTGGTAACCAATAGCTCTCAACAAGAGGAAATCATACCTGGTACTAGAAAGTTTGCCAACTACCTTGGGACTAGTGAGTTATGGTTCTTAGAGAACCTACCAGCACTGCTACTTTACTAAGCCAGCATGATTCATATAACACACACACACACATACACACACACACCCCAACACTACCACCAACAACAAAAATTAAAGAAAAAGAGGTCATGAATTTGAGAGAGTAAGTGGAGGATAACAAGGGAGGGACTGACCAAAGGGAAGGGGGAAAATGATGTAATTATAGTTAGTTTCAATAAATACAAAATATATTAATTTTTGTTTTTTACTTATTTATTTACTTATTTATTTATTTTCAAGGCAGGGTTTCTCTGTGGTTTTAGAGACTGTCCTAGAACTAGCTCCTGTAGACCAGGCTGGTCTTGGTGGCGCACGCCTTCAATCCCAGCACTTGGGAGTTAGAGGTAGTAGGATCTCTTTTGAGTTCGAGGCCAGCCTGATCTACAGAGCAAGTTCCAGGACAAGCTCCAAAACAATACAGAGAAACCCTGTCTCAAAAATAAATGAATAAATAAATAAATAAATAAATAATGATTTTTTTAAAGCTGGGTTTACAGTCCCAGTTAAAAGATTTGTTTTTAGTTTTTGATGCCTGAGACTGAGCTCGGGGCCTTGAACAAGCTAGGGAGATATCACCTAGCTACAACCCTAGCTTCTGTAAAGTTAAGTAACTTAATTATTCGCTTCTGGAAAAGGAAGCTGTAAGTACATAGACTGCCACATTTTATGACCCAATCACCTTGGTTACAACCTGAACTTTCAATTCAGGGATGAAAGTTCAACATCTCAACCAAAGGCAATTATCCATGGGCTGGCTACAAACCCTGGAAACTTGGCCCAATATGCTTATTGGGGGTTAAATAATGACCAATTATTACTGTGATTCTCTCCATTCTGACATCCGAGGGTCAGCAGCACAGTTGAAAAGACACAGCATGAAACAAGTCATGAGGCAGAGAATGGACGAGTAAAGCTACTGAGTAACAAAGGATCAGAAAGGGAGCAGCAAGTCAGAGAGATCCACAGAACTGCCCGAGTGCTTTTACACAGACAGATGGGCAGGTTTTAGAGTAGACAAATGCGTATATTCCACCGTTTCAGAACGGATCGTATCATCCTATCTAAAATAATGTCTCTCACCCCGTTACCTTGCTTTCACTTACTACTATCTGGCATTATACAATCAATACACAATTTATGTGTATACAAAACAAATACATTAATATGAAAGACTGAGCACACATATAAGAAGCAAGAGTAAAGAAAGTATACACAGACCAGTTGTTTAAATTACAAAAGCTGGGGCTGGAGAGATAGCTCACAACCAAAAACATATAACAAAAGCTTGTTCATTCACCTATGCCACTAGGTCCTACACCTTCTGCTACCTGACAGGGTGCCCCAAGTCAATACCCAATTAGGTTTCCAGGAGCTAAGTCTTAGTCACTCTATGAATCATGAACTCACATCACTCTAACATAGAACTTTTTTGTTTGGATGGTTTTATGAAGAAATGGTTCACAAGAGGCTTTAAAGTGTATATTTAACTAAGCGTGTGATTGCTAATTAAAACACACCAGATTTGTCCAGTGTCTCCATGTGAGACAAAATTTTTCCTTTTGGGAATTCTGCAGATAAACTTATATTTATTTAAGTATGTAGATAAGGCTTCTGATAAGGCTGCTTTGAAACTATCCAATTTAAATTGTTGACTTTTTGTGTCCTTAAGCACAAGACATATTTCTTATTTTACCATATCCTGGCAGTGATCATCACACCTAACAATATATGAGATTGTGTCAGAATATAGGGCTCGACCTGTGAATTATCCCACCCCTCTTCATTTGGCTCATCTACTATAGGCTAGAAAAACAAACAAGAACACTTCTTTTGGTTTGGTTTTTCAAGACAGGGTTTCCAACAGCCCTGGCTGTCCTGGAACTCATTCTAGGCCAGCCCTCCAACTCACAGGGCTCCTCCTGCCGGTGCTGGGATTAAAGGTGTGTGCCACCACCGCCCAGTTTAGGTAAAACAAAATAATACCAAAGAGAATATATTCTTGTCAGGTGTGTGGCACATGCCTTTAATCTCAGTTCTGTGAGTTCAAGGCCAGCCTGGTCTACAAGTGAGACCCTGTCTCAAAAAAGAAACAAACCCTGTCTCAAAAAAAAAAATATATTCTTAAAAGAAAATAGAAGGTGGGAATAAAAAAGAGATTAGTAGAAATCAGAGGGGAATAAGAGTGTAGTATAGCCGGGCATTGGTGGCACACGCCTTTGATCCCAGCACTCGGGAGTCAGAGGCACGCAGATCTCTGTGAGTTCGAGGGCAGCCTGGTTTCCAGAGCAAGTGCCAGGATAGGCTCCAAAGCTACACAGTGAAACCCTGTCTCGAAAAAAACAAAAAAAAAAAAGTGTAGTATGAGAGGTGTGAATGTGATTGGAATATATCATGTACATGTAGGAAAATGTCATCAGGAAACAAAACCATTATGTAACAATATAGTCTTATATAAGGTCAAGAAAAGAACAATGCACATTTATACTCTTTCCAACAGTTTTGCATTTATTTCCAATTAGACATATTAAACAAGTCTTTGTGTACATATTAAAATCTGTATACATATTAAAATCAATTAAAAAAAGCCTATATGATCAAATAAATTAGGGTTTAGAGCGAAGAAATACTGCTCCTTATGAGAAACATCTATCTCATTTCTGAGTCGTCAAAGGCCCATTAACAGTTTAAAGAGAGAGAGAGAGAGGCAGAGAGAGAGACAGAGTTTAAATATCACCTAGGAGATGACTTAATGCACTGTGTTTTTATATGACATCGATATCAATAATAGCTATGAAGAAAAGATAATGAAGGACCTGTCACTTGTAAGGGAAAAAAACAACTCTTCTGGTAAAATTTTCAACTTCTAAGCAATTTCAAAATTGGTGATAAAAAGAAGCAACAGTAGCTAAGGAGGGTAGAAACCAACACTTACAAGGCTCTAGGAATCTACATTCCACCCTAGGGCCACAGTCACTACACTTGCTTACAAGGCTCTAGGACAATTAAACTCCACCCTGAGGCCACAGGAACCAAACTTTCTAATAATTTGACCAGATTTATACTTTCTGATGAAGGATAGCTATAGAAAATAACCAAGTACAATTACATACTAATTACTTCTAATAGTGAAAAAGGAATACTGAATGTTCAATTGAAAATAGTTTTGTAAGGGGGAAAAAAGCTATTTTTTTTTTGTTTGTTTTTTCCCCCTTGGGGGTAGGGGAGGCAGGGTTTCTCTGCATAGCCCTGGGTGTCCTACTCACTCTGCAGACCAGGCTGGCCTCAAATTCAGAGATTTGTTTGCCTCTGTCTTCCCAGTGCTGGGATTCTTTTGCATATATACATTTTAAATCTCTAAATAGGATCCTGCTATCATATCCTATCCATCAATTGGCCATCAAACGTAGGCGCCTAATCTTAGCTTCTCCAACTGTCTCTTTGCCACTTCCTGGCCTCCTTTCCAGCTCCCAGCCCTTCAATCCATCTTCTAAACACACCTCCAAGAAACCTTTCTGACCAACCATAACACCTGGTGGCTATCAGATAAAATCCAAACTCCTTAGTACAACAGAGAATTTACTCTCCAGTGACACCAGAGAGAATTCTCCAAACACACTCTGCCAGGCTGCCCCCACACACACACACACCAATTTTGTCAAGATACAGTTCAAGCATCCCCAAACATCTCAGAGCTGACTCCTGGCTTTACACACCCACCCAGACTTGATCAAGATTCTGCCCAGGCCAGGCAGGTGGTGGCGCACGCCTTTAAATCCCAGCGTTTGGGAGGCAGAGGCAGGCTGATCTCAGTGAGTTCGAAGCCACCCCGGGCCTACAGAGAGTTCCAGGAAAGCCAGAGCTACACACAGAAAAGCCCTGCCTCGAAGGAAACAAAAAAGATTCTGCTCTGATGCACTGACTCACACACACACAACACAAATAGCCCCGTCTACATACATCTTCATCCTAAAGAGCCACATAATTATAACGGTCTCTCAGGAAACTAGAAATTCCTCAGGACTTTATCTTTCATCTTCCATATCTCAAGTGCTTATC